AAAATTAGGAAAATTTCAGGGGTCATTTGACCTTTTAAAGACATTTAAGTGATTTTCTAGCCATTTAATGACCGTAATTCAAATTTGAACTACATGTACATGCAACAGCTAACCATAACGGTTTGAAAACAAAATCATATTTGTGTACTTGCGTGCGAGTTAATTCCATGTGCAGTAAATTAGAAGGAATTTTCAAACATATTGGTCTCATGGCATGGACACATGCATGGAGTGCCATGGCATTTTAATTCTAAAAAATTAAAAAATGACCAGAAAACATGAAACCTTGCTTGATGTAATGTCATGCCACCAAGATGACGTGGTAAAAAAATTGGCCTATTTGACAAAAGCTTGGACACACACCCCTCACAAACCGGAGCAACTCACTAGAAGGCTCGTGGTTCCGAGAGGGAATAATGCATGTTTGATGACGAATGGGAGATAGCTTCCTCTTACGGCCTTCAATTTTTTTCTACGTTTAACATGCACTAATACAACTGCCATGTGAAAATTTGGAAAATTTCAGGGGTTATCTGACCTTTTAAAGATATTTAAGTGATTTTCTAGCCATTTAATGACCGTAATTCAAATTTGAACTACATCTACATGCAACGGCTAACCATAACGGTTTGAAAATTATATTTGTGTACTTGTGTGCGAGTTAATTCCATGTGCATTAAATTAGATGGAATTTTCAAACATATTGGTCTCAGGGCATGGACACATGCATGGAGTGCCATGACATTTTAATTCCAAAAAATTAAAAGATGAAAAGAAAACATGAAACCTTGCTTGATGTAATGTCATGTCACCAAGATGATGTAATGTCACGTCACGGAGTGAACGTGCCAGTGCACCAGGCGTGTGGCACTAACAGCATCCCGTGCCTCTGCCGTACCCCGACGTCACCCTGCCGCACGACTGGCATCTGGATCCAGACAGGATCCAAGTGCCGGCGGCGCCGCAGTCGGCTAGGGCGCACGCGGAGGAGGTGCTGCGCTGGGGGCGCTGCTGACACCGGAGCAGCGCCACGACGACACCTACGCCCTCGACTCGCCGAGCTGGAAGCGGTGGTTCGCCTTTGAGCACGAGGAGGCATCGCGTCGTGCGCGAGGTCGACCGTAGCTTGCTGCCGCACCCGCTCATCGTCCGCGAGGAGGACCAGGCGGCCCTTGTGGCGATCTACTGCGAGAGCGAGGAGGACGAGCTGCGCAGGGTGGAGGCGGTGGAGGAAGAGGAGGCCCGGTACGGGGCAGCCATGGCCCAGACCATTGCCCTCTCCGCGGCCGGCGACTGCGTGGTGCCGCCTGTCGCCCCGCCGTCCCCTCCTCGACGCCGCATCAAGGCCGACCCGGAGGCGCAGCCGGAGCCGTCCCCGATCGAGCGCTACTGCTGGACGGGAGTACTGCGCGAGTGGGTGTCCGCGCCACCGGTTTGGATGAGGGCGACGCCGATGCAGGAGGCGGCCTACCTCGAGATGTGGTGCCAGCGACGGCTGGCCGAGGAGCGCCGTCGCGGCGAGTACGAGGAGATGCTCGAGCGCGACCTCAAGGAGGAGCAGCGCGAGGCTGAGGAGGAGGCGCGCCAGGCCGCGGCTGCATAGGTGGCCGCACAGCCCCCCGCGCCGGCACTTCCCGCGCCGGAACAGCTCCCCGCGCCGACACTGCCCGCGCCGGAACAGCTGCCCGCGGCCTACATCACCGCCGCCTGGAACACCACGTTCCCCTGGGCCGGCCCTGCGCCGACGCTGGTCGACCTCACCGACCCCGAGGAGGAGGAGGAGGAGGACGATACCTAGGGCTGCGCGCCGCCTCACAGTTTAGGTTGTTTTTTTCTTAAATGCTAATGTGGACGCGTGGACTCTCGCCGGCCTTCGTGGCCAGTTGTAGTGTTTAATTAATGATATTTTTTAAAATATGCACGCGTTCTTTTTTTCTAGCGTCGTTAAAATGGGTCGGGCCAGCGTTGGGCGCATGCGCCGATCCAAACGCGGAAGCAAACGTCCATGTCCGCCTGGCCGACCCAAACGGACAAAAAGCGGACAAAATCGCTGTCCGTTTGGGTCGGCCCGTTGGAGTTGCTCTTAGGGCGTGTTTGGTTGCCCGCATCGAGCCCAACCAAGCCCGTGCGGGATGAGTGTGGGCTGTTTGGTTGCTTAGTTTTACTATTGGGCCTGCATAGCACGATGTTTAAAGCAGCTCTGGCCTGCCTCGCTGGAAACGCACGAATCGGCAGTTTCTCCAGGGACAGACCCGAGCGGTGCACGTGGGCGGGCGTGGCTGCACGCGCGCGGCCACCCTCGAGAAGTCGCGTTGCTTCCCGAAGCACCGACAATTATTAGCCTCACCGCCCCTCATCGCTCCCTCTCCCCACTCTTCCCCAGTCTCCCAACTCTCACCGGCGGCAGTGGATCGAAGCAGAGGAAGAATACCACCGGATTCCATCAATGGCGGTAAGCACTTCTCTCTCTTCGACATGCACGCTAGATTTGATCCACGGCGATAGATTCGATTCACGGCGGAGGGGAATGGGGAATAGAGGTATATAAGCATAGGGGTAGTTCATACTAGTTCTTAGCAGTTCATATGAGTTCATACATGCAAGATCGGAATGCATAAGGTAGATTTCGGGATTGGGGGATAGGGGAATAGGGGGAAAGGGGGTACACAACGGACACCGGTTGACCGCAGCGGCTGGTCGAGCCGCTGGCCTTCATCTTCTTCTTCATCGCCGTGCGGGCTGGCGGGTCGTCCTCGTCGTCCTCGGCGGAGTCGAGGTCGATCTGCCAGGTAGGACAGACTAGCTCCGACGCCCTAGCTGGCATGTGCACCGCCTCTTCTTCCTCCTCCTTAGGCTCCCCGCTGATGACCGCCGGCGGCGCGATAGTCGTCTCCCAGTACACTGCGGCACAGCGGTTATTAGGAGCCCAGTAGGTCTTATACTTGCGCCACTCTTCCTCTATTTAGGGTCGTTGGAGACGGCCTGATTCATGGTCCAGCGAATGATGTCAACTGCCATCGCGCCCTTCCTGGGTCAGGAATCAGCATCTTCAGCTCTTCTTTAGTGGCCTTCATGACCATGACATTCGATTCGTTCTACATGTCAGCCATGGAGCCGAAGTTCGAGCACACCTCCATGGTGTTCTCGAAATTGGTCCGTTCACCAGCCGTCCACCCGAGGAAGAAGGCCCTCCAGCCAATACCCCAAGGGAAGGGGTTGGCATTGGAGCTAGAGCTAGAGCTCATGGCGATGGGGAGGAGGAAGGTTGACAGTGAGAGAAGAGAGGGGGTGGGTAAATAGTGGTGGGCAGGGTGAGTAAATATAGAGGGATGGAGAGGAGGAGAAGAGAGACAGTCATGCCGTTTTAACTACAAGCTCTTGAATTAGCCATGAACTCTGTGCAATGCCTGACTCCATGACTTGTGTGCAGATCGAGGACACAGAGGTGCTCCCGGCCGTTGACAGCGAAGACAAGCAGCCCCTTCACCCAATGCCCGACGAGGTTGAGCTACCACCCACCGCCGAGGAAGACCCAAAGATGCCTGAGGGTGGCGACGACGAGGGCATGAAGGAGCCCCCCAGCAACAAGCGTCGCAACTACGGCCACTACCATCAGGAGGATGGCCCAACTCACTTCTGCAAGGTCATCCTTGCACCGAAGCTGGAGTGCATCCCCATGCCCCTGGACTGCACCAAGCACTTCGTCGCGGTGCGGACGAAGTTCAAGCTCAGGAACAACACCGGTTGCTCTTGGAAGGTGATGGTCAAGCTGATGAACGGCAGGGTGACCCTGGATCAGGGTTGGGCCACCTACGCAGCCGTTCATCAGATCAAGATTGGCTACATGGTGACGTTCAAGCTCCTCACTCCCGACACTCTCAAGGTCATCATCTTCGGCGACGATGGCATTGAGGTCGTCAACAAGTGCGGGAAGCACGACGACGCCTTCGCCGCCAAGGAGTAGGGCCGGGCCACCTCTTTCGAGCGTACTATCGAATTATGCTAGTTGATGGTTTATGCGTTGAACTATTATATCTGTGGTACTGCTTATATCTGAATTATGCTAGTTGATGCTCTGTTTATAGTCTATTGTGCTTATGATGTGTGCTGCCGAAGTGTGGTGGTAACCTCACCAACTAGCCAAAGAGGTTACCACACATCAGGCCTTGCATACAACCAAACACAATGCCTTGGGTTTCTGGACTAACATGCAGGCAACCAAACACCAGTCAGTGTGGTTCAGCCCCATGCAGGTAAGAGGGCATGCAGGCAACCAAACAACATGCATATGATGCATTTGAGGATGCATTTGAATAGCCAGACTGAGTAGAGAAGTGTATGCGATGCAGGGATTGTTGCACACGGCAACCAAACACACCCTTATTGATTCTTCGCGGAGGTTGGCTCCTTAGGTAATCGCATTTGCATGCGTTTCCATGGGCCGACGCACACGAAAATAATATTTTTATGGGCCACACGAAAATAATTGATGAGAATTGAGCTGTCGGTCCTGGGCCTTGTTCCTTGTCCAACCCGGACATGACTTGTCAGTCCACGTACGGGAGGACATGTATCTATCTATCTATCTATAAATCTACGACGTACGAGCGAGTTATATAAAAAAGGAAACGACAGATCCGTGAGCCGGTGAAGCACGGGCCACATATACTCGATCTGGATCTGGGGGTGAGAGGCGCCATGGGGATCAAGCCGTCCTCGTTATGACCCCCATGGAGCTCGCCGCGCGCCGCCACGAAGCCCACCCCCCCTGCTGCGACTGAAGGCGGCGGAACTCCCGTCCGGCTGCTGCACGACGTCGTCTTCGACATCTGTCGTGGGTGTCGGTGAAGTCGGCGTGCCGGTTCAAATCCGTGTGCCGGGAGTGGCGTGCCCTCATCTCTGACCCTGCCTTCGTCACCGCGCACAAGGCTCGCACCGGGCCGCTCCTCGCCATCGCTGCCAACTCATGCGTCGAGCAGTGGGCCCTGCGGCTCATCGACATGGACGGCCATATCATCAAGGTGATGAAAAACGCTGATTCAATTTTAAGGTTTGTTTGCAGCAGCCCTGGCAGCCTAATGTGCGTCGTCGGCTATTCATCGGAGAAAGTGAATGTGCTCAACCTTGCTACCGGAGAGGCTACTGTGATTCACCTCAAATTTAGCTTTATGGGCTTCGGCCGCGCCGCCCCGTCGGGCGCCTACAAGATGGTCAGCATAAATCCCAGCAGCTGTGAGATCCTCACGGTAGGGGATGGCGTGGGCTGGAGGCAAATGCAGCCGCTGCCCAACAATATGTCGTATAATAGTTCCCCTGTCGTGGTCAAGGGTGTCATGTACTTGATGTTAGCTTCGCAGCTGAACGGGGACAGCGTGATCTGCTTCGATCTGGAGAGCAAGGAGTGGAAGGGGGGAATCAAAGGCCCACCGAATATCCAACTTCACCGGTTTGACATTACCTTGGAGGAACTCAACGGGGCCCTGTGTATGCTCCAGCCGGAGGTAGGAAACGTTTACCATGGAACCATGAGCATATGGCTCCTAATCGATTCCCGCAAGGGGGTCTGGATCAAGGTTTACTCGATCCCTGTGGACCCGTCTGCGTATAGTCCCATCATGCCTTTGAGAATATTACATGATAACGGTAAACTACTCTTCTATGTCACGCGTAAATTCGATGAATTCGCGGTGCTGCAAATCTATGACCCACGTCATCGGACATTCACGGACGCGCCCAAGATGCTCGCGGGTGACAACGGTGGCAGTATCAACCTTTGCAGCGTGCACTTGGATAGTTTTCTGCCCGCCACCGTCTAGTGCTATATAAATTGTACGTGCTCCTTCTGGATTGTTTTATTGAAAATGTGAGTTTCTCAAAAGAAAAAGATCATACTGTTTTTCAGTTGATGAAATTAGGACATCGCGGGTGATCCACGAACACTTCAGTTCCACGCTCTGGAAGACCACCAGAGGAGACCTCCCCATCGAATAGGACTCAATCTACCTGCCCACACTGCACACGGCCGGCCTCGACAACCCATCCACCGAGGAGGTATGGAATGCGATCAACAAGTCCCACATGAGAAATCGCCGGGGCCGGACGGCTTCAATGACACCTTCTTTCGTGCATGCTGTCCGGTCATCAAAGTGGATGTTATGGAGGCCTTCAACCAATTCTACCACTTAGTAGGGGTTGACATGGCGACGATCAACAATGTGATGATTGTTCTGCTGCCAAAGAAGAACGGGGCGGCGGCGATCACAGACTATAAACCAATCAGCCTAATTGTTGGTGTCAAAACCGGCGGATCTCAGGTAGGGGGTCCCGAACTGCGCGTCTAAGACGGATGGTAACAAGAGGTAGGGGACACGATGTTTTACCCAGGTTTGGGCCCTCTTGATGGAGGTAAAACCCTACGCCCTGCTCGATTATTCTTGATAATATGAGTAGTACAAGAGTTGATCTACCACGAGATCAGAGAGGCTAAACCCTAGAAGCTAGCCTATGGTATGATTATATGTTGTCCTACGGACTAAAACCCTCCGGTTTATATAGACACCGGAGCGGGCTAGGGTTACACAGATTCGGTTACAAGGAAGGAGATCTACACATCCGTATTGCCAAGCTTGCCTTCCACTCCAAGGAGAGTCCCATCCGGACACGAGACGAAGTCTTCAATCTTGTATTTTCATAGTCCAACAGTTCGGCCAAATGATATAATCCGCTTGTCCGGATACCCCCTAATCCAGGACTCCCTCAGTAGCCCTCGAACCAGGCTTCAATGACGTCAAGTCCGACACGCAGTATTGTCTTCGGCATTGCAAGGCGGGTTCTTCTCCAAATTTTGAATGTTTGTTAAGCAGTGTCCGGCCCCATAAATGTTGGACCTCTTGGCTTCTGCGCCCAATAAGGGATATCTCCCACGCGTCGAATGAATATGAGGAGCCAGGGCATTTTTACATTCGCCCCCCTAGCCAGATAAATAAATTGTCTATTAAAGGGATGGGGATTCTTAGATCCAATCCATATCATCTTCCCCCAGCAAGAATCCATCGGAGCGTGCTTCGAAAAAATCCACTCCAGCATGGCCGACCTCCGCAGCTCCTCCTCCCGCCTCCGTAGCCCTAAGCCCGGTGATTGGGAGAGGTGTTCTGTCCCACACAGTCGATTAGTCGAACTGCAGACTAAGGGATTTCTCCCTCCAGCGTATATGGTTCCCGTCCGAGCCGGGCTCGCCACCTACAATGGCGGGGAGCAAGCGGAGATCTTCCCCAGCCCCTCTACGGGGGAGCGGGTATGCCTTGTTCCTTACTTATTAAGGGGACTCGGATTTCCAATTCATCCGTTCCTCCGTGCGCTCCTGGAGTTTTACGGCCTCCAACTGCATAATTTCACCCCTGCTTCCGGATTACACATCGCCGGCTATGTTGCCCTCTGCGAGTTATTCCTGGGCTGCGAGGCTCATTTCGAGCTGTGGAAAAGGTTATTTTGCCTCGTCCCCCGCACACAGGAGGGGTCACTTTATCAAGTGGGCGGAGCCAAAGTATGGCGCATCGCCGAAACCGGATACCTGCCCGGTACTCCGAAGAAGACGCCCGAGGACTGGCCTTCAGAATGGTTTTATATGGAGGACGTCCCCCTTCCGGACCCTGTTCGGCGGGGTCTTCCTGAGTTCAACAATGCTCCTTCGAAGAAACGCCGAAGTTGGCGCCCACGGAGCCCCCAGGAGGAAGACAACGGAGAAGTCCTTTACCTGATGAACCAGATTAAAGCGCTGGCTCAATCAGGATTGACAGTAATCGAGGTTATGTCAATATGCATAATGCGGGGAGTGTAGCCACTTCAATATCGAGGGCACCCCTTGTGGTGTTTTAACGGGAAGACGATGCCACCCGTTGCGGGCGTAAGGGTCCGGACAACGCTGCTGCTTTAGCAAAAGTCTTGTCCGAGCTGTTCAAGGGAGAGGAAGAGGAGTTTGTCCGCATCAAGCCACGGGATGGATTCTCCATGTACAACCCTCCAAGCTGGGTGAGTTATATCCCCTTACTCCCATTCTTCCCACATTCTTTGTCGTAGGTACTCACCTTGCCATTTTACGGCAGGAACTGCGAAAAGCCATAAGGGAGGTCAACAGCCCATCCCCACAACCAGAGGACCCCGACCGGGCCCTCGGTCCCGAACTCGAAGAAGATCCGGACATATTCATGGAGCTGATAGACCGACAGTTCTATCAATTGAGCTATGATGACGCCATGGTGGCCATTGCGGCCGACTATCCCGGACTGCTCCCTGCGTCGCTCATAAGAAAAACAAAAATCCCAACTCCAAAAACTAGGATCCCCTTTTAGATACTTCACCTACCATATACATATGGTGTTTTACAGGGAAGGCATTCGGGACACCGTGCCGAACCCGCAGCAACTCGCCAACCAGAGGCACCGTGGCCGGGTAGGCCAAAAAGGAAGGCGGTCAGGACGGAGACGCCGGCGCAGAGGTATGACAAAAACCCTGCTCCATGGTTGTCGTCTTTCTCAAAATGTAATGACGTCCATGTTTCTTTAACAGAAAAAACGCTCGCCGGAATATGTCCGGTGAGGCTGCCGATCATGCTTCCACCAGTCGGGCTCCAAGACCGGACATAGAGGCGAAAGCCGACATGGGGCAGACGCCGGATACTCCCCCTACAGAGGATGCGGATAGGCTATCCGCTACAAATTCAGAAGTGGAGAGTGCCATGAATCATAGGCGTCGCCGGGCCGTACTCCGTGACGCTTGCTTCTCACCAGAGGCATTTGATGCCTTTAATTCTGGAGACGCGTACCTCCGTGCTGCTCAAAATGGTCTAGCCAGGGCCACGGACCAGTATGTAAGGGATGTACGGGTAAGCAAATTTGACGATTATATTATCAGTAGCCCCTGAGACTTGAAACAGTTAGCATAACTGATTTAAGGATCATCTATTGTGCAGGTTCTTACAGAGAAGAATACTCGACTGTCACAGGAGCTGGAGGAATGCAAGACCCAACTTCGGGCCGCCGTTGCCGCATTGAAGGAACCTAAAAAGTCCTCATATGGTAACATTTCTTTCAAAGAATGATAGGTACCATATAGCGTGCGGTGTGGCTGCAGATCTAACAATAGATATTGCAGATGAATCCAGAGAGAATCCAGAGGACAAGCATGTCATACGACAGCTAAAGGCTGGCGAACGCGTGCTGACTGAGGTCAGGCGGGAGAAAAACAATCTCGAAGACGCCAATACCAAGCTGAGCATGGAACTGAAGGATGTTCAAGCCCAGCTTGCGGACTCCGAGAAGGAGAATAAGCGGCTTCAACGCGACATTTTCAGTAAGTGCTTGGATGAACCCTTAAAAGGGGGGGCAACGGAGAAGCTGGCTAACAGAATTATGTCTGCAGGTATGCTGACGGGTCGTCCCACGGAGGAGATGCCCGGGTCTGCGGGTGATCTTCTACCCGAGCTCTCACGACTGCACGAACAAGTTCGGCGGGTGATGCAAGGTATTGCCCAGGCCTTGTGGCCATCCGTCTCCCTGCCAGAAGGCATTGGAGAGCTTGCGGAGAAGCTCAAGGGAGCACGGTGGCGCTTCCGATTATGGAAGACATCGGCCTGCCGTCAAGGTGCCAGGGAAGCCTGGGCCATGGTGAAGACGCGGTATACCAATGCTGACCCAAACCACATGGCTGAGGTCGGACATGTGGAGCCCGTTGGGAAAGAGATCCCCGTTAGCTTAGTGTATGGGCAAGTAGAATTAGCCGCAAAGTATTCCCAACAGGATTGTAGGCTAGACAGCCTGTTGGATGGTATACAAGAGGAATTTAGTCAGTCTACATGACTACGTAATTAAAGTGACATGTATAATGCCTTCTAGGCGGATTGTAAATCATTTGTCATGGCGGACCTTTTCGCTTCAACCTCAGGACCCGATAGTCCGGAGTGTGTCCGAATACCCGCTCAGTTATATAAGAACCGGGGTATGCGTGGAAACCAGGCGTAGGGGTCATTAGTGCCTTGAACAGACAAGTATCCAACTAGTTATGTTATATTACATGGGTAGTAAGAAACATCTTCTAGGGAGAATAGTTCCATTAGGGGTTCCTTTCCCTGGGTACGCATGCCCTAAACTGCATGTCCGTACTGCGAGAGGAAATGCAGGAAAAAACATCTGGGGGCACATATGGAAAATAAATAAAAATCATCTTTTGTTCACCGACCGAGTATTCCCTTAAGAACGCTAGCTTTCTGCTTCACCTAGTCTGAGGTACACATCCGGCTGACCCGGCAGTAACAATCACAGAGGTGCTCCCCTTATGACCTAACCGAATTAACGGGAATGTAGGGCATAAATACAAGAGCCAGGCAACCCAGCTTGGCCAAAACTTAAGTCATATCGATGCATATAATGGTGAAGAAAAGGTACATGCGGAAGAATAACACATGTGCGGGGCATGAAGCCCAGATAAATAATAAAGCTTCTGTGTAAGAAGCCCCCACGTATCAATACTAGGGAAAGGGCTAGCAGCAGCGCGGGTTTTAGGTGTATCAGTAGCGCGGTGACCGACGCTACTAATAAGGCGCTACAGCTAACACATAGCAGTAGCGCGTGCTCACCAGCGCTACTGCTACACAAGTGTAGCAGCAGCGTGCTTAATGGAAGCTCGCTACTGATAATAGCTATAGCGCGCTTCTCCTGTGCGCGCTACTGCTACTACCGCGCTGCTGCTAACTGATCTCCACTCGCTACTGCTAATTTTAGTTGTTTTTTGTTTTTTTCAGCATATTTGTTTTGTATTTGAA